CCAAGTTAAAGTTTATGCAAATGAAAAAAAAATCTATATCAGATATAAAACAAAACCTCCTTCATGGTCAAATCTTAATTAAAATTTTATAAAATGTTTCAAGTTTACGTTAGATTTGCTTGAAATATACATTTGCTTGAAATATACTTCTTGTAAATAAGTAAATCACCATTGCATTTACTATAGCTTTTATAGAAGCTAAACATGGAATTTATGATATTGTTTACCTGGCATTTAATTAATATCAAAATTGGAATTTCCAACAGTTTTTAAAACTAAATGTTGTTAAATTTAACATTTACAATAGCTTTAAGTGAAACTTGCAGATCAACAAATTTGCAATTTGACATTAATTCACTTGAAATTTAATTCTTGTAGATATAAACTTTTTGCTAAATTTACAGATAATTTACTATGACGATAAACTGAGCTTTTACAGGCATTTATGGGAAATTAAATGTTCATGTAAACTACAAATTTACAGTAGTGCTGTAAACTATCTAAATCTCTATTAAATTTGGAGTTTAATAAGGAAATTAATAACGAATTTATCTTTTTCAATATTCAAGGTATTGGTCTGATTTTTTATATAGCTTTATCAAATGATTACCTATCTTTTGTTTTCAGAATGATTCCCTGAAAACTGTATATAAATGCCACTTTTTTGGTGTTGAGTACATTTTTGAATGGTATTACGAAAAAATGGGAAAAAAATAAATAATAGCCAATTAAGATATCAATATCTCTTTTGACGCCACCGAAATGAGTGTATTTGGTTAGTGTATATATTAAGCTTTAAATTTATCTATGACATACCAAATTTGCTTAACTCAATCAAAACTTATTATTTTTTAAGTATGGGAGGGTCAAAATGGCCGATTTTTGGGATGGACACCAAAGGTTAAAAGGGGAATTGAAATATAAAGAAACAATACATGGATTGACGAGGATCTCGCAAAAATCATAACATGTCTCGTGCGAAATAAAAACTTAAAATTTTCGAACCAGATTGTGAACAGTTGAACAGAAACAAAGCAAAATACATCGTTTTCGGTCTTGTGAAGGCTGAAGAACTAGACGAATTGAAGCCAAGGATGCTCTCGTTGAAAGCCCAACTAGATAACGAGGCATTCACTTTAATATATGTTACTTTCGAATTATTTGTAAGCCTGAAAATCAAACTGATGGGAGACGACTTAACCGGTCTTATGTTTCCCAAAGATGCATGACAAGGAACGAAAGCTCTTCTAAAATATAAAATAAAAAACAATTTCTACCAGATAAATAATCACTTAATACGCGAAACAAGCAAACATCGATGTAATCAAACGTAGAAAAGAAACGCCAAGGACACATCGAAAATCGATGCATTCTTGATCCTACTACGCCAGCAATTAGCAAGACCCCTGGACACAGTTAGGAAGAGGGGGATGGTAGGTCTTCAGGATTGAATGTCGGTGTCAACCACATAAAACATCCCGCCTTTCCTTAAGCTCGTGGGGGGGAAGGAAGAAGTTCAATTTGCCAAGAACATTCAATAGGCCCTCAAGCAATAATCACCTCTCCCCGCGGTATACGTTTTTGTCATGCTCTTTAATTCATTACCATTYAAAATCATGACCACTTACGTGCTGTTTTCGGTTGAAACGACAAACCTCTTACAATCATCTTGAAGGATGACATCCACTTCATACACTATAACAAAAAGTCTAAAGGAGAGAGTGATATCAACATCCTACCACATGTGGACTTCGACATTCACACAAGTGTCAATGCTATTCCAAAAAAAGATAAGTGCCATTCATAGGAATGTGCAAGTAAAACTGATTCTTTGCTAATGCAAGGGGTGGAATAGATGTTGATGGGCATTTATAATTTTTAGTAAGGAGTGGATTCAGCATCAGGCGGTTTTTGCAAGAGTCGCAAAGGAAATACAGAGAACTTGACGTCATTTGCCAAGGAAAGTTGGAAAATCTTACCCTAAATAATACCCTAAATAATAGAATATGAAGTGTTTTAGATTAGGGCAATTATGTACACATACAAAGTAACAATATTGTAACATAATACAATCAGGTAATTTTGGCATAAAAAAGTAAAAGAATCTCGATATTTTTTTCTAACAGTGCTTAMTGAGATGGAGGCAGGCATAACGCTGAGCTACCTGGCTGGTTGACGAGTTTCCCCAGGGCTTGCATGGCAAWATATTACATACATCATCTTAACGATATCACCATACTTGCACCAAGCTTGCTTGAGTAAACTTAAAGATATAGAAATATAGATAAGTTATAGTGCTTGGGAACGAGGTTATTCCGGGCGAAAACCCTTGGAATTAAATTCTCATCTTTGAGTAAACTTAGTATAGTTTAATTATAGAAGGAGATTTCCCTACATAGGAAAAGTAAATAATTAAATTATAAAAGATGACTCCAAGAAATGGATATTCAACATACTGCCTGAAGCGTCATATGCTAATATTCATATAATCTCAGTGGTAAGATGAGGAAAATGCCACGTTAGCCTCAACATAAAACATAACAATTTTATTTTATTTTTTAGTGGAATCCAAAAACTGRCCCTTAGCACATACCATCTATTTTTCCTTAGCAAGGGCCATTCCATGTTTCCCTCAATATCCAARAATCTGTGGTCCTACTGTACAGACCAATGTTTGCCAACCTCTATACAACTATTCGTTGGTGAAATTAAAAAACTAAAGTCACACCCAAAGTCTAAAGAAATTGCACTTCCAATTTCAACAACATTTGAAGACTGGACGTGATACAGAGTGGCCCGTGATACAGTGCACTCTCACTTTTACAAATACTAAGTAGATATTTTACTTCTTCAACTCTTTGATGATGTGGTACCTTGTTTTTAGACGTGGTGATTATGACCAAAGGCTTGATACAATTTTCAGAATTGCTATGCAGTGCATAGTCTTCTGAAGAAGGAATGATGACAAAGCAACCCTTAGTCATTTTTAGCTGATGTCTTTTACGATACAAGGTACGAGTGCAAATATAAATTATTGTAAAAAATATATTTACGTTAGTAACAGCTGTTACCCTCGATTTAAATACCTTTTTTATTATTATCACAATGGTGGAAATTCAATTACTGCAATACTGTCAAAGGACTTTCTAAATTATCTGCCAGAGAAGAAGGTTGACTTGTTTCATTCCAAGCATCAAAGGTCTATTTGAAATAATTTTCAAACTCAATGTTTTGCTTTTATATATCGTAAAGATACCATGAAGGTCAGAGATGAACTCCCCTGCTATTCTTGGAATATCGGTATTCCCTTAAAGTTATTTTTAGATCCTGCCTACTCCTTACGAAAACTCCTCCGCTGCTTCCGGTTCCAAGGTGATGTAAAGATAGAGGATCAAGAAAAAAAAAGTTACATTATCGCACTTTTTAAAACTGAATCCAAACAACTTTCATCAACTTTAATGTTTCTAACGATACACTTTCGGTGTTAAAACATTAAATAAATCATTTGATATTTCAAAGAGTAAGTGAACATTTTCGAATCACCTGGAGGTAAGGGTTTCTGCACTTCCCATAGCCATTTTTCTTTTTGGGAAATCTAGAAAGGGAAGCACCAGTGGCGGTCCTGTGCTTCGAGGGTTTTCGGGGTTCTCTAGTTTTCCTCCCTCCTAAAAAATCAACTACTAAATTCTAATTCAATCTTGGGGCTTTCACTTAGTTTGGAGCCTAGCTCTGTTGCGATTGTCCCACGCTGTGATACAACAGCTTAAGCTAGTAGATTTCTTTTAGATTTTTTTTTTTTTAAACATTTAACCTAATGGTTTTTATTTTTAAAGTGTATGTGACATGAAAAAGTTTTGAGCTGATTTTGATAGTTTTAAATGTGTAGATCAATATTTGTAGGGTAAAATCGTCAAGTAAAGAGAGTAAAATGTCTTTTTAGCCGTAAAAGACTGGGAATTTGACAACATTTTTGTCCCTGGGACTGGGATGAGTTTCAGTCCTGTGACATTAAGTTGTTTGCGAAGCGTCATAATGTTGTTGCTTTACTAGAGAAAGACGAAGGCTTTGAGGAATGGTAGCTCCTTTTAAGACGAAAAATACGGTTGTAAAAAATGTCAGATGCATCATCCGAAGTCAGTAGTTGTAGRAATAGTTCTTCAGAATATGAAGATTCAGGARAGATGGAAATAGCTGGCCAAATCGAACCATACCAAAACGAACCGATAGCTTCGGAAAGCGRCGAAGAAGCAAGTYATAGTSAGGAAGATGTTGATATTGATGGCCTTACTCCAGACATATTGGCAAGGAGATATGAAAGACACGTYGCAGTTCRTTAATGGAAAKTATAACCTTTGTCTCTCAAGGTTTAGGACAAGGTAAAATCATATGAAAAGCAATACTTTTACAATATGCAGGTGCCGTTGTTGAAGTAAATGTCATGACGAAAACTTAGTTGGTGCTCTGGAATTCCGTTGCTGTCATGAAGTTGCTAGTGTTGGATGGATCCATAGAAAGAGTACGTTGCATTACCGAACACGAAAATTATCCAGCACTTATGTACAAAACTGTCCTATCACAAGTAGCTCCGCTAGAAGCAATGGCGTCTCTCAAAACGAGTAAGCTTTGYGTAATATCAAAACAAACGCGTTCAAATCCAAAACCAGCTACAATTTTAAACCCTGCACTCTATCTCTTCTCTTCTCAGATTGCTCAGAGCTGTTGCTTACAGATGGATAACTAGATGGTTGTGTGAGTAAATGGAGTGGGATAATTCCAGGCCTTTACCCACGTGTGTTCATCTGTCACATCACCACATAAGGAATAAGTTTAGAAGTCATAATTCAAGGGGATACATGACAACCCAAGACAGAGAATAGACAAGACACATGACAACCCAAGACAGAGAATAGTCAAGATACAGTGGAACTCCGTTAATCCGGCCACCGAAGGGACATTCAAAAGTGGTCGTTTTAACGGCCGTATTAACGGGCGTCAAAGATATGTTAAAAACGTGTTTTATTAATCAGTACGAAACTACTAAACAAATTAAGTGCAATAATGCATATTGTATTTTTAAATAAYGTTTCTAAAACTTCTGATGCTATTGGAGCTCAGCTATAACTCRACTTTAGTAGTACTTTAAAACKTAYATAAATYATACAGTAGTACAGGACTGTAGATATAACAGTAGAATAGRGAAAASTGAGTACAGTAACAACTACTTTTTAAAATAGRCAGTGACTTTGCTCTGTACAGACGAATGAATCTTCCTTTGARGCCATACTGACTCGAGGCTGGATATCACCCCAGACAGGCTATCGGCACGGCTCGTTTTAATACTGTACCSCTATAAAAWAAATGCGGACATACTTTAGCSCATCACGCTGTACGTGTTTGTCTGTTTGAAGTTGTTGTGTTGATTCTGATTCCACAAAAAGCATTACTGTAGAATGTTACTCGAATGAATAAAAGAATCACAGATTTTGCAGCAATAACTTTACAGTAWTTACATTAAGATCTAAACTGTAACCTATTTGTCCTGGCCATAATACGGGGTTAAAAAAGTATGGAAGTTTGTCAATCAGGCCACAAAAAAGTGGCCGTTGGCCGTATTAACGGGTGGGGTTCCACTGTACATGACAACTCAAGACAGAGAATAGACTATAATTTGTATATAAATGTCATATATTTACTGTGCTTGAACAGTACATACTATGACTATGTCACATTGAAGATGCCTTTTTTCTGTTCTTATTCATAACATACTTGGTMCAATTAATTTAGTTAGTTACCCGAAAAATAACAAATCTGAATCAAGTAAGGATTAGTGGGTAACTATAATACCAGTAACATTATCAGCTAAGTGGTGTGGGCTTTGAGAGAAGAATAAATTTTTAATATCCTAGGTATGGTTATAACATCGCTTTGCTTTTGAGATAGACATAATAAAAAWATATAATAATCATGAATTATACCCTATTGAAATTGAATCTTCGATCGTCATTGTGTTAAAATCTGGCAAGTGGCTGAGCATGCATAAAGTTTGTATGTAGGTTTATAAAAGCTTACTTACTTGTCGCTTCACTCGCTTTGTAATTCTTGAGCTAGCTGGTATCACTGCTGCTCAAGTTGGGACCGAACCCTTTATTAAAACCTTGTTCATTTTCATAGCCATTCCCTCAATAAGTAGAGGTCTTCGACATTTTTCAAGGCACATAGCGTGAATTCAGACAGGAAAAGAGCAATTAAAATTTGTTTCCACAAGGTTTTACTACATAATAATAATATACAATCAGCCAAAAAAAAATTCATGTCATATACACTTTAAAGAGGATTCGATAATATAAAGATCAAGTTTTCAATTCTCCCAAAGTTCACCMCACAAGGATCTTAACAGGCATCACCAATCTCTATAACTTGCACCAGTTAATAAGTGAACCAACACACGTTAAYGAATCGTTTTCAACTTTAATTGATCTTATTCACTTATAAACCAGGGAAATTGTTTGCTCTGGTGTCTCTCATGTCGGAATTGGTGATTATAGATTTTAAAACATTTTATTTCAGGRAACTCTCAACTGGTCTATTTACGAAAGGCCACTCGACTTTCACTCACAGAAACTTTAAAACATTTGATACTAACAACACTAATGGTCTTAAAACAACTGAGAATGTGCTTTCTAACTAGCAGTAAATGGGGGACATAAAATASACCGAATGCACTAAGAGCGCGCGAGCTCGTTGGTCACATGGAAACGAGGCTGGCTGAATTTTATGTCCTTGCAGTTCTGCACTTTGCCAATATGGCCTATGAGAGAAGAAATCGATAAATTCATGCCAGACTCTAATTGTTCTTTTCCCAAAAACAACAATTATTGATTGCACAAAAATAAATATGGAAGCTCCTGAATCCCTGCACTTGCGATCATCATTTTACTCTGACTATAAGCACCATAACATAGTTAAAGCAATGATTGGGATAAAACCAGCAGGGAGCTTCTCCTTTGTGTCTGAGCTATTTCSAGGAAGTGACTCCGATAGGGAGATTGTCTGTCGATGTGGGATTCTTAATCCGAAATTCTGGAATAAAGGTAACAAGGTAATGGCGGATAAGGGATTTACCAATACAGATTTGAACATACAAGCTGAACATACCAATATTCCTGGRAGAACAGGTGCAGTTTTCAGGTGATCAATTTTGCATCAAGCAAAGAATTGCTACTCAGAGAATTCATGTTTCTAGCTATTTGTCAGCCAAAAACTAAATAAAGCAAAATGCATATTCTTAGTAACATGTATTAGATACTGTGGTTACTCATTTCGTTTTTAATTTTAAGCCAAACTACCTACCAGCGTTAGATACTATAGTAGACCAAAGGTGTTTTCCTCTTGGCTATGCTTTTAGTGGCGACAAAGAACCTGACCCAATGYTATTCTGTGACCATCCAACCTGTCGAGCAGACGATGATTCACAGCCTAATTTTCAGAGACTGACATGTGGGCATTCCTTTCATAGGTGTTGTCTGCTTCCATTAAACCGCCAATGGGGAGATCRTCCATATGCAGCAGTTGAAAGCAGTTTGTCTAGTTTGCCAGGAACCTTTGAGAGAAATAATTGAGCACATTGCATTAACAATGAATTAAACAAATTTCCTGGATTTTGCTCTATAATTCATTATTTTATGTTTTAGTGTATSGTTTAAGATTACTTCCACGAGTATACAATGCACAACCTATTCACAACAACATCCACTGCAAGCCAAAAGATGCCCATCCCGAGACTCCCCAGGATAGTTACCATCCATATATAAACCTGTCTTCATCCTGGATGTGCAAAAAACTATAAAACTGAAGGAGGCCTTTCAAGGCACACTGCCACGAAACACAGCAAAGCGTGAAGTCAGTATTTATACATTAAAAAAAAACACGAAAAACAAAAAATACCGGTTCTCTTAGGAACCACCAATGTTCAAAAGTGATGGTAATCTTTGCTACTAAGTTTTGWTTAATTAAAATTACTTACAAACATGTAAGCTTATTCGAATAGTCAGTATAAGAAACCGAGCAAAACCTTTCAAAAGAGAAGAATGGACAGCCAAAAAACCAGATATTCAATTAAACAATTCAAAATAAAAACTAGATAATAAAATGTGAACRTCAAAATTACCATGATCTAGCCTGGTCAAACATCGTCCTGAACGAACRAGAGCATGTTTAGTAAACAAATATCATGGCGATCACGAATTGAAAACCTCTATACCTTTTTTATACCTCACAAACAACTTTAAATCAATCCATTCTTCGCTTTAAAAATAAGCTAGGTATTTGAATACTTA